TTGCCAAACATGATACCCTTCTCCAGGGAGCAGTCCCTTCTTACAACATGACCAAAGTAGGTGAGACAAAGTTTGGCCATTCCCTCTTCAAAGGATCATCCTGGCTGCACTTCCTCCAGGGCAGATTTGTTAGTTATTTTAGCAGTCCATGGGACTTTCAACATTCTTTGCTAACACCACAGCTCAAAAGCATTGACTCTTCTTCGGTCTTCCTTCTTCATTGTCCAGCTCTCACATGCAGATGACACTATTGAAAATACCATGGGTTGTGTCAAGCACACCTTAGTCTTCAAGGAAATATCTTTGCTCTTCAGCACTTGATTGAAAAGAGGTTCTTTGCAACAGATTTGCCCAATGCTATATATGTCTGATATCCTGACTGCTACATCCATTGGTGTTGATTGTAGAACCAAGTAATATGAAGTCTTTGACAACTTCAATCTTTTCTCCATTTATCATGATGCCACTTATAGGTCCCGTTGTGAGGATTTTTATTTTCTTTATATTGAGGCAAAATGCATACTTCAGACTGTAGTCTTCAAACTTCATCAATAAGTATGCTCACTTTCAAGCCATGCTCACTTTCAGCAAACAAAGTTGGGTGGTCTGCATAACATAGGTTTTTAATGAGTCTTCCTCCAATCCTTATGGCCCATTCTTCTTCATATAGTCCAGCTTCTCAGATTACTTGTTCAGCATACAGATTGAAAAGTATGGTGAAAGAATGCAACACTGAAACACTCCCTTCTTGATTTTAAACCATGCAGTGTCCCCTTGTTCTATTAGAACAGCCTCCTGGTCTATTTACAAATTCCTCTTGAGCACAATTAAGTGTTCTGTAATTCCCATTCTTATTAATGTCATCCATAATTTATTATGATCCACAAAATAAATGCTTTTACATAGTCAATAAAACACAAGTAAATACCTTTCTGATATTGTTTACTTTCAGCCAAGATCAATCTGACATCAGAAAGGATATCCCTTATTCCACATCCTCTTCTGAATCCAGCTTGCATTTCTGGAA